GGCTGGCTGAGCTCATTTCCGTGAGGGGCTTGTCCATGTTTTCTCTTGGAAGATGATTTTTTGGTGTGTGTTTGTTTTCCCCGGAGAAACTTGATCTGAGCATATGTTTCACCCATCCGGTATGAAGGAGGTCAAAGGGGGAAGGTCAGCCCGTTTCTCAGGCTGCCTGGACAGGGCCAGCTGATTTTCTAGGAAACAGAGGCACGAACTGACCCTGGTTAACTGTTGCAGTGCGAGAGCAGTGGCTTTGTGGTGTGCAGCACCAGGCACCGCGAGCCACGCTGGCTGCAGCATCAGCCGCCCTTCCTTGAAGGTTGTGGCTGTTGCTCCAAGGTCCTTGGCTGGGATCTCAGTTCCTACTTCAGATGCTCCAGATGCCAGCTCCATGGGCAGGGAAAGCCCTCGGCAGGCCCTTTTAGCCAAGCCATAAAAACATCACAGTGGAGAGCTTGATGGGAAGGTGCACCTTTAGCCTCTTCTACAGGTACCATTCCCAGAAGCTGTATTTTTTATGGCTTTTGGCTAGCTGCAAAAGAAATATTTACATTTTTATTCCGTTTGCAGCTAGCAAGTGCTAACTTCCTGCTAAGTTCTTCCTACGCTAAGTTAAACCTAATTTCTCAGGAGTGATTTAAGCCTGGCTGATCTTGCTTTGGAAAAAGATGGGACAAAAGGACCTCTCTGAATCTCAGCTTTCTTCAATGGCCTTATCTTTTCTGAGTGTTCTGATTGTGTGATAGCTCTGCAGACTTCTCTGCTCCTTGAAAAATGGTTTTATTGCTCATTGTTATTTCTTGTGACAATTGTTTCTTGGTTTTGTTCCACCTTTATTGTGTTTCACCTTTAAGCAATTGCAGTTTATGGCTCTTCCCATTTTCTTCACTTGAAGGTAACTTCAGCTTTTGAAAAGATGCAACTTGCTTTTAACAACCTCCTTAGCCCTGCTGTTTTGGCCAAGCCAGCTTGCTTTTTCCCTTTATCTGGTCTTTTCTGATATTGATACGCATTTACTCTATGATTATGTTTCTATCCGTCTTTCAAATGCCTTTCATGTCTTAGATGTTCCTTTCACCTTATCCTCAAAAAGTTTCCTTATTTTTACAGTTCCCTTTTTCTGAGCCTGCTTTATCATTGGCCATGGACCACATCAAATCAAAAGCAGAAGGTCAGGAACTAGAAAGCAGAAAGCAGCAGAGACTAAGACAATGCGGTTCACAAATGTATTTCTGTAAATGAGGATGCGGTCATTGCTTCCATTAAATTCAAGCAGTTCATCGGAGAGAGAACCACGTACAGCAAGCAGACAGCTAGAGAGGCGCAAAGGGATTTTTTCTTACTTCGGCTCGTGGCCGTGGAGGGACTGAAGACACTCAAAAAATAGCTGCGTCACCGAATTATCATTCTGTGCCTGCGGGGGAGCAGATGTGGTTCAGTGCAGAGAAAGGCTGCAAGGGAATGGGCTATGAATAACCGCCTGTATTGTTAATTAAAAACTAAATATAACGTTGTCATAAAACAATATTCACTGGGAAAAAAATCCATGCAGATGATTAATCCTTGGGGCTTTACAAGCATGCCTATAATTAAGCCCTCAGCATCAGCAGCTTCAGAGGTGAGGGCCGAGGACAAGCGACACGTTCCTGTAAACTCTTCCTTTTTTGCTAATGCAATCCAGGAGCGACTGTATTGCCTTTTGCCAAATTGTTGGAGTCCGTATACAAATCATTTGAATTTCAGGGTCTGCATTTCGGAGGGCATGACCAATGGGGTACGAATATTTCATATGTGCCTCTGCGACAGGAAGTATTCGAAAAATCCCGTAGTCTAAACAACGCCCCGGTTCAATGCTGTGGCCTGTCTCTCTGGAGTCCGTAACAGAAATAAGCCTCATTCCTTCCTACCAGAACAGGAAGCGCGGAAACAATTTGCTTTATGCAGCGTATGTTTCACCATTTCTTAGGTAATTTGTTTGAGGACTCAAAGTTATCTCTGCCGAGCGATTTATCTTGGCGGTGCTGTTTGTGGCGGAAAGCCGTTCCAAAACGCAGGACTCTCAGCAGAATCTAAGTCCCGACATGTCTGGCAATGGTTTTAGCATGGCAAAAACAACGCTGCGTCTATTAAAACCACTTTACCTAAGATGTGATTGACACATCTTGCAGAGGAAAACATTTGACTGATTTATTTATTTATTTATTTATTTTTAAGTTTAGGAGGAAATGAGAAACCTGCAACCGATAGTGCTAAAAATACAGCGACAAAGCAAGCTGAATTTAAGACTTTCCAGTTAGCCTAAATTTGCTGATTTGCGCTTAAGCATCTGCAATATTGACCATTAAACTTTTCACCGCTTAGGGAGCATTTTAAACAGCACTGCCTCTTGCAAACCCATCTGCCTGGCAAACGAACGTGGTACTGATAGGACTCTCATCTGTCGGAAGAAATGGCTCTGCACCCTTGGAAATCAAGGTTACAGATCTGCAAAATCTGAGCGTAGCTCTCAGGTCCGAGCTGGTTCTGAAGATTTTTGCCCTGCCGAGAGCGTTTACTGCATCTGCCGTGCAAAGCCAGCCCGTCTTCCCAGCAGTGTGTGAGCACCAAGTAAAGCCAGAATGAAAAAAGAAAATGCATGGCCTCTGCTCCTCAGAGATCTGCAGAGTGGGACTGGGTTTTCAGAGCAACATCCAGAAATCACGGCTGGACTCACATCCGTAGCACAACATCCAGCCCTGCCTGAACTTGCAGAAAGCTCCGATCCGGGAGAGAATTTCTTGGTTCCAGCCTATATTCAGGTTACCAGTCATTATGCATCACATTAAAAAAGAATAATAGTCCAAGGAACTGCTTTGTCCGTACACTTTTTCTCCGCGCATTGGCGCCCGGAGGAGCGTTCGCTGTTTGCCTGTTTTAGGAGGCTGCACAAATAAGTGATGCACCATCCAGTGGACGAATGCGCTAGTTACATGGTGGGAACAAATCCTGAAACGTCGGTTCCACCCAACTGATTGTAAAACTTCCACCGAATGAGAAGCTCTTACTGTCAAAGCATGAGTGGGAACTACTGGAGCATCTGATGTCACAGCGTGGGCAACATGCACAGTCCTGTTTGGCTGATTAAAAAACAAAAATCCACAGAACCTAATGTTTTTTTAACTTCTGAGTAACTATCATACATCAGCCAACCTGCAAAACATTTTTTAATTTTATCAAGAGTTCAGCTCATTACAATCAGCCACGACGCACCCCATGAGTATGTCTATGAGAAAATTGCTTTTCTTCACTTTTTTTTTTTTAACCTCCGGATAAATGATATGTATTAGCTATAGTAAGGTAAAACATGCAGGGAAAGGGAAGACTTAGAAAAAGATCTGGTCTTTGGGTGTGATTTTGCCTCTTTGCCACATTTATATACTCATTTGAATGAATCGCGTGACCTCCACAGACAGGTTGGCGTTAGACTAACTAATTTCGCGTCGTGTGGGAAGCCCGGCTGTCGGGCTTCTGAAGTCCCCAAATATTTCAGCACAGAAACGGAAAGGTAAAATAATTCGAGAAGTGCACAAACACATAGCTGCAAGATTTTCTTGTATGGAGCAAAAGTTTTAACTGTATCTCCAGAATAGTAAGAGGAGCAACCTTTAAAACGGAGCCTTATTTCGTTGCATCAATAGAAACCTGCCAAGTTCTTGCTTCCGTGGCCCCGTCAATGGGGATTTGCGTCACCGGGTAAATCTGCCTTTGGGTTTAGGCACTAAAGGCAACGCTTAGCAGGAGCCACAACCCCTGCGGGCCCTGCTGCCCGTGTCCCGCTAGATGGTGGTCATGCGACGGGGAAAAGCATGGAGGTGCAAAGCGTGCCGCGTGGTGCCCGTCTCGGTTTCTCGTCCTTCAGCTCTTTCACCTTTGTGTGTTTTAAGCGCATCGTTAGCTGACACGCCGGCAGGTTGGCTCTTTTGCATTTCCCTTTCCTAGCTGCCAGGTATCTGTTTTTCCGAAGATGTAGTGGCACCGTGGGGCAAAGCTGCTGGAGGGGAAATTTTACCAGATGGGGAATGTGCTCATGGGAATATCGTGGAGCATTTGGGCTGCAGGCTGGAGGGTGCAGCCAGCGGCACCGTACGCGCTGGGGATGGGCAGCGGGATGGCGCCTCGGGTTTCTGCCCCTCCGAGCAGTATTGCTCCCCGCTCCCGCCGGCCCCAGACCCCATCATGCGTCCCAG